GGTATTTTCAGTGTGAACACAGTACTTGCACTATTTATACTACAAAACGTCATAGAATAGTGCATAAGTATGCGGTTTGGGATGCACCTTTTGTTCTTACTACCTTTGTGGCCATCGAACGTGTCAGTTGCGTTGCTGAAAGCAAGCTCTCGGATTTCATCAAAAATATCTTAATTTGTGTTCTGAAGATGAACAAAGGTCTTACGGGTTTGGAACGACATGAGGGTGAGTAATTAATGACAGAATTTTCATTTTGGATGAACTATCCCTTTAAAAAGATTCCAAAAAGGGGTTTTCTGTTTCCCCAGAGAACCTTTCAGTGATCAGTTCTTAAAAGAACCATTTTTTCTTAGTGTGAAGAACATTTATTCACTATAAAGAACCTTTAGTGCAATGGAACGTTTCCGCGGATGTTGAAGGTTCTTCATGGAACCATCAAAGCCGATAAAGATCCTTTATTCTTAAGAGTACATGAACAGAGAGGTTTAAAATATACATTTTCTGGAGTCTCTAGATATCTGTGTCTGGTCTGTAAAACTGACGTCTACCTAAGAAAGCTTTGCTCACTGCTTGCTCATGGTCCGACTGCTGCTCCTCTTTGCTGGACCCAGGTTGGGCCGGTAGCGGGTCTGAGAAATGTCTGGCAGACCCTGGCTGTATGGGAGCTTTGGGGTCCTTGATTTGGGACACTGACTAAACTCTTGATCTATCTGCCTGCATATTAAAACATGGCTATGCTCATCCTGCGCCGAGCCTCTGTCAAAACAAGCCGTCTTAAAGTTATTCTGGTTAGTACCTGGTTCCAGGCTGAGACAAATAAACGCTCAACTTATTAAGACCTCATCACTAATCACCACTCGTCATGGGGACCAGTGTTGCCAGATTGGAAATGTCCAAGTATCGTACCAGAAGCTCAAAATTATCGTATTTGGAAGAAAATTAGCGTGCACGAGTCAAACGTTCAGAATACAGTTATTTATCTAGATGTTACAGCTATTTATCCTTTTCAGCACTCATTTTCTATACTTTATTGCAAAACTATCGACCGCAGCTTTGAAACAACTGACCTAAGTGCGGCAGGAACATGAGAGAGAGAGAGAGAGTCAATCTCCATGATGATTGGTCGAGAAGACGTGAGATGAGATGAAAGACATGCGTAACACCACGTTCAAGTCTTCTCACAATCATGAAGGTAGACGTAGGATCCACACAGCTAGATCAATGAGTATAGAAGCCCTATGATTACAACGACTATCATTTGGTGTCACAAAATTCTGAAATGATCGTACATTATGGTATTATTGATTGTACATCGTACAGAGGTCAAAATTATGGTACAAATACGATAATTATCGTACGTCTGGCAACACTGATGGGGACAGTATTTCACTGCTTAATTTTAATTTTATTTTACACTGGGATAAAAAATGGGACACCTTCATATCATTTCATTAAATAACTAGAAAAGAAGCATACTTCAACTTCATCTGATATATTCCAAGTACTCTATGTAGTAAGTATACTGCTAGTAGTATACTTGTAAGTGTACTATTTCAATTCTTCATGGGACAAAATTGACCCACTTTTTAGTTTATAAAACCAATTTTTATATGTATAAGTAGTAAACTTTAAGTACACATCTAGTTTGTATATAGTTAAAAGTATTTATTTTGTATTACAACTATACTACTAGTGAATTAGCTACTTCAAACCCACTTTTTAAGTACACTTTGAAGTATACTCTCAGTGAACTACCGGTTTATACTATACTGCAAGTATACTTGTTTTTTTATCATCATACTTTTAGTTTAACAATTGTATTAGTTTTGCAATTTAAGTACACTACTAGGTTTCTATTTAGGTGTTCATTTTTAGACTTGAAAGAAACCTATATACTTTTAATGTGATCTACACTATCAGTGGATTTATGCCAAAGATTTATGTATTCAATAAAGTAGCATTGATCGTACATCGTACAGAGGTCAAAATTATGGTACAAATACGATAATTATCGTACGTCTGGCAACACTGATGGGGACAGTATTTCACTGCTTAATTTTAATTTTATTTTACACTGGGATAAAAAATGGGACACCTTCATATCATTTCATTAAATAACTAGAAAAGAAGCATACTTCAACTTCATCTGATATATTCCAAGTACTCTATGTAGTAAGTATACTGCTAGTAGTATACTTGTAAGTGTACTATTTCAATTCTTCATGGGACAAAATTGACCCACTTTTTAGTTTATAAAACCAATTTTTATATGTATAAGTAGTAAACTTTAAGTACACATCTAGTTTGTATATAGTTAAAAGTATTTATTTTGTATTACAACTATACTACTAGTGAATTAGCTACTTCAAACCCACTTTTTAAGTACACTTTGAAGTATACTCTCAGTGAACTACCGGTTTATACTATACTGCAAGTATACTTGTTTTTTTATCATCATACTTTTAGTTTAACAATTGTATTAGTTTTGCAATTTAAGTACACTACTAGGTTTCTATTTAGGTGTTCATTTTTAGACTTGAAAGAAACCTATATACTTTTAATGTGATCTACACTATCAGTGGATTTATGCCAAAGATTTATGTATTCAATAAAGACACTTGCTCTTTCTGCAATTTGACTTGATATTTTGAGTCGAGTAAAATAATAAATATTTAATGGAAATATATAAATAGGTAATAAATATTCCTTTTGGTTGTAATTCTTTATTCTGGTAATGACTTAATATTTACTCTAAGCTATTCCACCCTAAAACTGACTTGTTACTATAAACTACAATACTCTAACCTTGAACATGTAAAGAATACTTCAATATGCTTTTCTCTATGAATGTTCTTGCTAGAAAAAAGTGTGCTTGTGTGATTTTATTCTTTAAAAGAAATGCCACCTGTTTTGATATTTCGTTATATTACACAAAGAGTTGATACATTTTTAGGTGTGTCCAAATACTTTCTGTTAGTTCCTCAAACACTGTCCTAAAGTACACAAAGTTTTTGTACGTACAGAACAGAGAGGTTCGTGTCAGGTATACTGTGTGGTATCTGCAGAACACAGTGGAGCAAGTTTGGGTTTTGATTCCCCCCGCTGGACAAGCACAGTAAATGCTGCAGTGGGACATGTCTCACCTCCTGCAGTGCTGTCGCACCTGCTCCAGCTCATACACAGTGTAGGGCCGGCTGGACTTGTGAGAGGGCAGTCCTGGGGCAGAGGGCAGAGTCACCAAGTTCCTGTGAAAAAAAACGAGATCGTGAGAGACGTTACTATAGTGTTTACAACAACAGTGTAAGGATGTCTAATGAGAACACTTGACAGGGGAGCGCGGGGCACAAAGTAACACACGTGGTTTGAATATTTCCACACATGCTAGCAAAACAAAATGTATGGTATTTACTAGTTGCCATATCAAAGTGTGCCAAAATTCAAAAAACTTTTGACGATATCGCTGAACATGTATTTTACCATAGTAAAAGTAAATTTCTGGCTTAAGTACATTTTTCATCTCAGTTTTTAGCATTCATTTAAAATTAGACAAATCTGATATTAGCTTAAACTCCAATCTGTTATTTATCAGTTTAGATAGGTCTTCAATGCTACGCTAACTAGCAGAAGACACTAACCAGCTGCGCATATGGGAAAACGTTGTAACACTGCATTACAATGTGCCCCGCTATTATTAAACTATGCTATTCTATGACATTAGCCATGCAAATTTTACTTTAATGAGAAACCACGAGAACGTGAATAAAGATTGACAGTCAATGTTTAATGTACAGAAGTTATTATTTCAAGAAATGTAAAGCATTTTGGCTCGTTTATGTGGGCCGTCCCAAGCATGGTTGCAATGGGTTCATTGTTAAACTCCAAAATCATTCTTAAAAAACGCCATTGCTTTATTTGAAAATGTTAATAATTTTATTTTATTGACAAAATATTTATTTGTCTTGTATACTTTTTTCATTAGATCAGATAATATTTTAAGCTGTCACATGGTCACACCAACTGACTAATATCTCAACCAAACTTTGCTTTACTGCTTATAAAAAACATCTTTCATATAGACATCTTTAGACATCTTTCAAATGAACCCAGGGTTACTAAACTAATTAAAACCATCCATGTACAAAAACATTTGATATTTATAAAACAAATTAAACTAAATGTTAACTCGAATAAGGTAACTTAAACTTATTTGTTTTAGCTAGTTGCCAAGGCAACATTTTTCATTTTTATTTAGTTTTACTTGATGACTGAAAAAGATAACTAAAAAATAACTAAAAGTGAAATAAAAATTCATACAAAATGACAATAAAACGACTAAAACTTTATATAAAATTGCAATGAAAACAGAAAATATAAAAATAAAAACGAATTCAAAATATTGATAAAAACTGTAATAGTTTCTCAACTGAAGCCCCACAGAAAATATTACAATTAATTTTTAATTAATAAACTGAAATATACATTATGGAAGATGTGTGTATTCATGTCATTGTCTGTATGAACAATTTAATGTATTTTTAAATACCTTTAATGTATTTTGACAAAAAATGTACAATAAAGTTAACATTAGCTGATGTTACAACTGTTCATTGTTAGTTCATGTTAGCTCAGGTTCATTAAATTCAATTTGATTTGAATAATGTATTAGTAAATTTTGAAATTAACATTAACTAAGATTAATGCATGCTTTAGAATTATTTTTCTTAGTTGTCATGTTAACTAATAGTGTCAACAAATTTTACCTTACTGTAAAGTGTTACCAAAAAGTGTCATATCCTTTATAATATTTACGTACTGTCCTGGTGTCATCATATCCACGGGACGATCACAGGAGATGCAGTGAAACCGGGCCACTAATTGTCTTTGACACAGAGTAAGAAAGACACAAAGACAGTGAGGCTTGTTTCCATACAACCACCATCATGGTTTGTCAAACAGAGGTTATTCAGATAGTGATAATGCAACATTACAGAAACATACACAATGATGCAAATGCTTGGCAAACGCATTCCCAGCATGCTTTGTGTCATGAATTCAGCTCTGAATGCAACAACATATGTTTTGACATACTTGTGTAGAGAACTTCAGGCATTAGGGTTTAGTATATGTTTGACTTTAGGTTTAAGGTCAAGCTCAGTGACTATCAGCATAAAGTCTGATCCACATTGCAGCAATGAGATTCACCACAAATTTGCCACAAATTCGCCAAAACGCACAATACTTATGAACTGCCATGAGTGTGTTGACCGATCTGAAGGTGCGGAAACATTTAGTGTTGCAGGCAAAATCCAGTCATTTCAATTTTTTTTTTTCTTCGCACAAATTAGCTGCATTGACCAACAGAATGAAGCTTGGCGTGAAAGTGAGTTTTGTGTTTTGTGCATCAGTGGAGAATGGACCTTTTGTTGGTGAAATTTCACAAATTTTTCATAAATTTCGCAGATTTGACATTGCACCAGTGGAATATGCAGGTGTGCTCATCTAGTCAACATATCAAAAGACAAAACTTATATACAATATTTAGACAATATTTAATAATAAATAAAAATTAAATTAAAATAAACAAATTATAAAATAAAATAGTTTTTGTTTACATGATATATGTATGTGTACTGTGTATATTTATTATGTATATATATAAATACACACACATACAGTATATATTTTGAAAATATTTACATGTATATACATTTATATATTTATATTCTTATATTTTATAATATATATAAATATATTTAATATATAAACATAACACATTTTTCTTAAATACATACATGCATGTGTGTACACACAGTATACACACAGTATACGCACATATATTTTGTAAACAAAAACTTTTATTTTGGATGCGATTAATCGCGATTAATCGTTTGACAGCACTAATATATTAAATAATTATATATAATATATTAATTTGAAAAAGTGAATCTAGTGCCTCACTTCCTGAGTCCAGCAGCGTCGTCCTGCTCGGGGATCGGAGGTGTCTGCAGATGCTTATGAATGGTCCTCCAGCGATCATCAAGCTCTTTCTTCAGAGGATCCAGCTCAATCCGGTTCAGCTACAGTACAAGACACATGCACAAAATCATAGTCATGATGGAAGTACAGGGGGTTTGTGAGACTGTAACAACCAGCAAATTTAAATTATTATTTAAAAATTCAATTCAATTCAATTCAATTCAATTAAATCATTTCTTTTTTTTATTTCTTTTTCATTTGGGGTGAAATGTGACCTGTACATGTTTTTGTGAGATTTACCCAAATACACATTCATTTTTAATTTAATTTAATATAATATAATATAATATAATATAATTTAATTTAATTTAATTTAATTTAATTTAATTTAAAATGAATGTGTATTTGGGTAAATCTGACAAAAACATGTACAGGTCACATTTCACCCCAAATGAAAAAGAAATAAAAAAAAGAAATGATGCCTTTTTTAATATCATTTTCATTACATTTTATGTGATCATAATGCTTAGCTCCAAACGTATACAAAAAGAGTCACTATATTTCTGGAAAAGATAGAACAGTTCATAAAGGTTTGAAAATATTTTTACACCATGGAGAATTTCAATGACTTCAAAGAAGGACTGCTTCGATCTGTCCGTCTCTCACCTTGCAGTCCATCTCAGTGGAGATCTTCTCGATCACCTTGTTCCAGTCCTGCTCCTGACCGCTGATCTTCCTCAGCAGATCCTGTATCATGTTATCGAGCTGCTCTGCCATGCTGTCGAACTGCATGCGGCTCACCTTGCTCTCCAGAGCCCGCTTGTCTGCTTTCTGAGGAGCAACGAGATGACACCCACTGACTGAGAGTGACTGTGATGGTCCAGTGGGGACCACAAAGAGTTGATGAACTTGGATTGTTTATGAACTGTATAAAGAAACAACTCACGATTTCAATCTCCATTTCCACCACTTGCTTGTCAGCTTTCTTTTCATCCAGTTCCTCCACTATCTTGAACAGATGCTGGAAAAACCACAAGCTAAGTAAGTGATAGAAGTAAATGATGTCTTATGAGGCTCTCTATTTACTCACGTCGATGTGTGTCTGTTTCTTGCTGTGTTCCTCCATCAGGCGGTTGGATGTTCTGTGGAGTTTCTCACACTCGGATTGCAGCTGCAGTATGGCTCCCTCTAAGTCGCTCACCAGATTAGTGTTCTACAGCAAAACAACATCACACACTCATACGAGAACATTTCAGTCATCTTTTGGAAATCAGGAGACTTCAACATCTCGTTTAAGTGTTTCCTTCCAGATGTTTCCTAAAATGACTTAAGAAGGATAAATATGAAGAAGAGGCATTTCATGTCTGTCTCTGTGTCATGTACCTGGTTCCTGTCCTCATGTCCCTGGTTCATGAGGTGAGTGGTCTTGTCCTCAGGTTTGTTGCATGACTGGGACAACTGACTGACCTCCTGTTCCAGACCCTGACCTCCTGTCTGCTGTTGACCCTGATCCTGACCTGCACTCTGAGCCTGATCGTCTGCTTTGCTGAAGCTTACTGCCTCCTGCTGTCCACTTTGTGAGAGTAGAGAGGATGAGGAGGACCTCATATCCTCCATCATAGCCCTGAGGCTGTTTAACTACAGGTGAACCGTAAAAAAATTAAAAGAATGTTCATGAAAAATAATAATACAGTGGTCGGATATCAGGCCGATAAGGGTGGGTAATATACTGTATAGATAATTGCAAGATATTAGTTTAATGCAAAAAAATGATGCAGGGAAGAAATCATTTGTAATGATTTTGTAATTTGTAAGAAATCATCTAATCTTTTGTAATTAATATGTGATTAATATTTGTGGCCTGTATGTTTTTTTTTTTATTATTATTATCAAGGTTGCATTTATTTGATCAAAATATGGTAAAAATATGAATATTGTGAAATATTATTACAATTTAAAATAACTTTTCTATTTGAATATATTTTATTTCTGTGATATTCAAGCTGTATTTCCAGCATCATTACTTCAGTTTTCAGTGCCGCATGATTCTTCAGAAATCATTCTAATGTACTGATTTGCTGCTTAAGAAACATTTCTTAATATTATCAATGTTGAAAACTTTTGATTATTTGATGAATAGAAAGTTCAAAAAGGCCGTATTTTTGAAATATAAATCTTTTGTAACATTATCATGTCTTTACTGTTCACTTTTAATTCATTTAATGCATCCTTGACAAATGAGAGTATTGATTTCTTTTTAAAAAATAAATTAGATACTGATCCAAAACATTTGAATGATATATATATGAAAATATACACGGAAGGAACAAGCAACTAATCGAAAAAGTCAAGCAAACTAGTCATGCCCATATAAAAGCACAATTAAAATTATAATGTTGCAATGCAGAACACTGATATATAATATATATATAATATATAACTAATATATATATATAAGTGCTGTCAAACGATTAATCGCGATTAATCGCAACCAAAATAAAAGTTATCATTTGTAAATTAATCATTTGACAGCACTAATATATATATATATATATAAATAAAATATAACTAATTTATCATGAATGTTTGCCATATGACCCAGGCGAGTTCTGTCAGTCTGACCTGCTCTTGTATGTGTACGTCTTCACTGTATCTCCCTTCTGCTCTGTCACGCATCTTCTCTCTTATCAGCTCCTGCACTTTCTCATCCAGCTTCAGTACTGCAATCCTGCATGAGTGTATGTATGTGTGTGAGACATACAGTAAAAAACACATCTATTGTGCTTTCTTTTCTAATTTATTAACTGCTAATAAAATAATTAGTGGGATGACTTCCTCCAGAAAACTGAGGAACAATTTGATCTTGACATAGTGTCAGTTTAAAATGTTATAGATGTGTTTGTACATCTCTCTTCTGATGCTGCATTCTCATTACTGCAACTAATGCAACATTTCCGAACACAGTGACCAATTTTGACCACTGAATGCAAATGTTGCTGTTTCAAAATTGTGGGATACGTCTTGTCCCATGTCTCTAATGATTGACTGGTAGACTTGAGATGAGTAGTACCTGATGTGAGTCGTCTGCAGGTTCAGCTGCTCTATCTGTGAGGAGTGTGTGTCCTGACCGCTGGCTGAACCTGTGCTCTGTCCTGCAGAGTCTGAACTCTCACACACCTGTACCGTCCTCATGTCCATCAACACACTCTCCACGTCTGACACCTACAGGAGTCATCTAGACTGTAACATGCTGCTTATGCTCCTGTATATGTGTGTTGGACCTACATAAAACTTCCTCGGGAGTAAACTAAATCTGATCAAAAACCTCATTTTAGATAGATAGATAGATAGATAGATAGATAGATAGAGCCCGGCACTGGTTGCTTAGTCACCGGAATGAGTCTGTTTGACTGACACAAATGACAAAGAACAATATAAGTCTAGGTGAGGCTCTGTTTACATAATTACAGATATTGTAAAGATCAAATCAGCTTCTTAAGGGATTGTAAAATCTGATACAGTAACAAAATGAAAAGACCGGTTTGAGGGACAGTTTAGGGTGTAGTAGTTATTACTTTGATTTTAAAATCATAGTCAGTATGAGTGTTTCTGTCATACCTTCTCTTTATCTGCTAGCAGACTGTCCACAAGAGCCCTCAGATGATTCAGCTGCTCTGGCACATGGTCAGGAATCTGCCTCTCTTCTACAGAAATCACAAAACATATCAAGCAAAATGTCAAAAACACACTTAAACATACACAAGCTTAACCCTTATGCATCCTTATGGACATTTTTGTCTTTTTCAGTTTTGTTTTGTTTTAATGCCAACTGCATACATTTGGGCACAAGTGTGTATTTTTATTAGAATTTTTATATTTTACCTGCATTTCCTTTAATACATTTATTTTACACTAGGTACAAAAAATAGTTCCTCTCAGGACCTTAAGGACAAAAATGTCCCCATTAAAACGGCAATTTTTAATCCCAGGGCCATTTAACTATAAAATGATGCAGTCTTTGTTAATAGGCTTTCATTCTGTTGGCAAGGCTTCAAAATTAATTTTTTTTTACATTTTTTTTTTACCAGATGGTGCCATTTTCTCAGGTTTGGCCTATAAAGCAAATACTCACATTTTTCCTGTTTTCTGCTTTTGCTGTATTATAGAGCCATTTGAATAAATTATACAGCTATAATTGTGTGGGTGTGTTAGTATGGATGTCAGAGTATGGTTTGTATGTGTGTTTGTTTGTGTGCATCTGTAATGTTTGAGAGAGGGAAATTATACTGTACTGTGAATCACAAATCCTACCGCTGTGTATGCCAGCGGAGCTTTGCTGGAATCTAATGGGAAAAGTTTGGTACTGCACCCAAACAAAATCTTACTAAAAGCTCATTTTTTGAGATATCAACCTCAAATTTGGAACACAACTTGTTTAGATTTATGGCTTTGATTTTCTAGCAACTAACATGTTTTATAAAATATATATTTTATATAAAAATTACTCATTTTCAGAAAATTAAACCTCTAACTTTTTTGGTTTCAATTTTTTTTTTACAACTTTTTTAACTTCAACAATAATCTGCCAAGGGTCTTTTTTAAAATGAGACCAAACTTAAGTCTGTACTCCCAAGCTTCAAATTTTTATGACAGTTTTTTGACATGGACATTTTTTGTCCTCCAAGGACCTCAGAGAAACTTTTTTAATTGACGCACAAGGGTTAATAGTAACTTTACTGTAAACAAAAATTGCATTATAAAAGTATTCTTAACACATTTTATGAGAGGGATATTTGATTGGATGAGGTGCAGATGCAAAATGCAAACAAAAATATTAAGTAAATATGTTTCTTGGTAACTATGGACATAATATAGGAAATTGTTTATTCCAATGTTAACATTAAAGAGATCCCTTGTGAAAATTAGTACACTTTAACATACTGCTAGAAAAAGAGTACTTATTATGGAAATAATATGCTTTTAAAGAATGTACTTATGTGTGAACTGAATGAAATTGCAATTAAATGAAAATGTAATATTGTTTAAATTTATATTAAATGTAATTAACTGAACTATAGAGTGCTTTTTAAAGGTAATTTCATTTTCATTACTTTTCTTGTCTATTGAAATATGGGTAAAGTGTACTGATGAATGTACTGACACGCATTTATGGTGTATTTATTTTTTTAAATGGCACGCATTTATTTTTTTAAAATATATTTGTAATTACAAAAAGAAGCTGCAATTTAGTACATTTAAAACTACACTACATTAATAAAATTAACTTGTAAATGTAATATTGAATAACTCGCTACAGTTAAATTATAATCAAGTACTTTAGATGTTTTTTAGTATGTTAGTCAACACATCAAAATAAGTGTCGTTATTTAAAGCATGGCAAAAGATTATTGAAACAATTATTTAAAATGTAATTTAAAGTAAAAACGTTTTTAACACAATTACAAAGTGTGTTAAAACAGTCATGAAAGTGTATTATCTGTAAGTACACTTAAGTGGGCTCTTATTTCATTAATAAATGTAAAAAAAATCTTTAATTTTTTACCCACCATCAAGTTGTTTCAAACCCGTATGACTTTCTTTCTTCTGTAGAGCACAAAAGAATATATTTTGAGAAATGTCTCATTGATTTTTTTTTTTGTTTATACAATTAAAGTTTTTCATTGTTGTTTTGGACCCCATTGTCTTTCATTGTATGAAAAGAAACGATTTATCCATTCTTCAAAATATCTTGTGTTCCATAGATGAAATCAGTCACATAGGTTTAGAATGACACGATGGTGACTTGAGGCCATGCCGCTTTGTAAACATGAATATGCATAATGTATCATAACTGTGGTTAGAATTATTATTGAATAACAGAGACATAATGCATATAAAGCATGTTGCTGTCTGTGTCGTACCCATGGCATTGAGAAGATCACGCAGATGTTGAAGCTGGGTCTGATCAGCCTTGTTCGCCTCCAGCTGCCCCACGCGGGCCTCCAGACTCTCGTGCCTGTCTCTCAGTCCGCCCACCTCCATCAGAGCCTCTATTGTCTCCGGGTAGCGCTCAGCCCCAATGCTGACCCGGGACAGTCGGCGGCCCGTCACAGTGCACAGAGCCCCGTCAGACAGGGACTGCTGGGGAGGAGAAACCCGCCGAGAGAGATCTACACCAGCTGTGCCAGCTGTACCCGCTCTGTCGTCTTTGAACGGGATACCCAGGTTCAAAGGGTGAACGGGTGCAATGTTTTTAGCGGCGGAGAGGGTGTCCTGCAACCCCTGGGAATGCAAGAGGGAATGTAATTTACAAAGAGCATCTCATGAATGAGAATCAGCTTGTCCTTCAGCGTATATTGCGCTTTGCATGAAACACTGAGACGGATGTCTTTGTTTTTGGCCTCGGTTTGTGTTTGTAGATGTTGGTTATGCATTTACATTTAGCAAATCATTCATTCCGGTCAATGTTTGCCTCAACTACAGCTGCCGCCTGCTCTAACCAAACAATGACTGTGATAAGAACCTGTGAGATTTAGTGTGGCTGTGAAAGGTTATTGGCTTCTGAAAGCTGCAGGACACACTAAATTGACTTCATGCTGTGTATGGAGTGATTACAGCTGGACGTACCTCCTGAATCTTCTGCCTCTCGCTGATGAGCGCAGCCTGCATCACTTCCCATGTGACACACTGCGTGACCACCTCTGGAACAGGGTACTGGGCCATCTTATCCTTCAGCTCTTTCTGAGAGAGAGAGGAAAAATATAATGTGTTTGTGTGTTTTCTAAATAAACACCACACAACTATTTTCTGATGTCAGGTAAAGGCAGCAAAGTCTCTCCATCCACTGAAAGTCCATGTTATTGTTTGAGCACAAAACAATTTAAAGGGATAGTTCACCTAAAATGAAACATTATGTCTTGTTTTACTCATCAACATGATCTGTCATTCAGATCAGTTTGACTTTATTTCTTCTGTGGAACATGGAAAGAGAAAATCAGCAGAATGTTGAAGCTGCAACATTTTGCAATATGGAATAGTGACTGGGGCAGGGTTTATTTTTAGGATTTTTTTTTTTTTGACAAAAATAACATTTCAGTTGACTAGAAAGGGCAAAATCCATATATCAAAACATTATTTAAACATATATAGATATGTTTAAATAAATATATGTAATGTTTTAATTCTACCATTGAAAGGTTTGGGTTGGTGACATTTTTTATTAAAGAAATTAATACTTACATTTAGCAAGGATGCATTAAATTCATAAAAAGTGGCAGGAAAGACATTTATAATGTTACAAAGATTTCTATTTCAAATAAATGCTGTTATTATGAACTATTCATCTATTTTTATTCATCAAAAAAATCACTTTTCTTGGAAAAATTTCACTGCCAAAATCCAGTCATTTTAATATATAGTTCAGTCATGAAACTCTAGATGGAGCAGCGTAACTGATGATATTCAGAGAGTTAAACGACTTGGCACAAGCTGATTGGTTAATGCTGCATATGCAGCCAATGAGCTTACTGCCTTGCATTTATATGGCTGGCTAACATTCACTTGAGATTCCTGCAGCGCGCTTTCAACGTTTCTCTGAAACCCTCCACCTTCCCCAGCTCCACCTGTATAGATCTGCTACGGGTTATTTTATATGCTATTTGTGCAGCAGCAGTATGTCTTAAATACTCATGGCACCGTATCGACGTATGCATTGGCAGTAGCAAGTTCCTGTACTTGCTTGCAGCAGCAGCAATAATCTACAACTACAGCAATAACCAAAAGCAGCAGCGTAGCAGATCTATTCCGCCAAGCCCAAATACATTAACATTGCCATATCCATCATCATGCTAAAATCTTCTGAGAGTTGTCATGATTGAAATATGAATCTGTGCAATCTGGAGTTCGACTGAAGTGCAAATTTAGTTTGAATTCATGCTGACCAATGAAAAGCTGCAATAGTAAGAGATGCTTCATACATCGCTAAACTTTAGACATTGGACCTTCTTGTCAGTGAAATAAAATGTTTCAACATTTGATAAAATGTTGCTAATGTATCCGTGCTTTAACATGTCTTCACAAGCTAAGATTTTAAATGAATAATGATGCACATTTCAGTCTGCTCCCCACACAAAGCACATGACTTCAGAGAACTTGGAATATAGCAATTGAGTCATATGGACCATGTTTTTTGCAATGTTTTTGGTACTTGACAGTCACCGGTTACTATATGCTTACAGTGTATGGAAAACATCAGCTCAGACATTCTGCTAAATACCTACTTTTCTGTTCCATGAAAAAAAGACTTCTATTGGTTTGGAACAATATGAGGGTGAGAAAAAGTTACATTTTTGGTTGTACTTTAATAGCAATACTCACCGTAGTGTTGTCCAAATCTTCCACTTGGTGGCAGTACTGCTCCATAGCCATGATACGGTCTGCCAACTCATTCATTCTCAGCTGAAGATGACAACATGTTATCAAGTAACACAAGTGCTAAATATTTATTAGCAAAATTGTTTGATTAATGATATTGGTGTGCATGTGCGGTCACCTGGCTGAGCTGATCGTTCAGACCATCAACTTCCAGTCTCAGATCGTCTCTGGACTCTTTGAGTTCCTGGATTTCCTTCAGCAGGTCTTGGATTAAGGCCATACACTGAGGAAGAAAACAGGATTTGAAATAACTTCAATCTTTGAAGATTTAGAGGGTTTCATTTCATACCCCTCCAACTGGGCAACAGTAACTGGGAAATCAACACGCTCCTAAGAGAAAAAAAAGCTCATAATCCCTTTTGCCTGGACTTTGAGGAGGCTAAATCTCTAAAAGAGCACAGCTGAATCAGTTAAGCCCATCCTCTGTGTCTCTTTCTTTGAAAGTATGTAATATACTTTTTGTGAGAGCATAGAGAACTTCTGACCTTTAACCCCAACAGAGGTTACCATGACAAGGCCTGGGAATCACTCCTGAATCAAACAGGATGTGGCATCACTGTCCACCCACTTTCTGATATGTTTGCATGACCCCTGATGTCTAACCTCTGTTACTCTTAGTGCTGTTTGTCTCCCTGTGAGGCTCTGTTAGATGAATACATTTGTCTTGGGTTTCCCTTATTAGTCTGAAGGTACGACTAGTGTACGGAAAGAGAGGCGAAGATGACAAGCATATGAAATACATGATTACACTGCATATCAAGACTGTTACTGAATGTCCACATAAAGAGAGAGACAGTGTTGTGGATACCTGTGGATACATACATAAAAAAAAATGTCTTCCTTGTTAATAAATATACAACACTAGCAAAAAAGTATCTACTACCTGCTGTTAACCTGTTTTAGACAAAGTACCATTTTAATACAGTGTTTTTGGACACATACCATGGTTATTTGGACATGTATATGGTAATATCCTGGTTTTTGGGGACATAATACCATGTGAAAACTATGGGTTCACATGTCATGGAAATGTCTTTTCATTTATGGATATGCAACATGAAAATATCATGTTTTTTTGACATGTGCCATGGTAATACCATGTTTTTCAAGATGCGCCATGGTAATACAGTGTTTTTAAAAACATTTCTAAAACTATGGACCATGGTTATTTGGTCATGTTTGGACATTTATTATACCCTGTTTTTTAATACCAAGAAAATACCATTGTTTTAAAATTTTGATGGAATTTCCATTTTGTTTTTGGATATGTACCATGGAAATATGATGTTCTTACACATAAACCATGGTAATACCATGATTTTGAGCATATGCCATGGTAATAATACCAAGGTTGTGGACATGTACCATGGTAATCAAAGTCATGTGGAACACCAAATGGTACACTATTCATACCTTTTGGGAGTACCATGTGAAATACTACTAATAATATTAGTACGAAAAATATTAAGCAATAGATACTTGAAATATTTCTTAGTAGTAAGAAATTAATCCTTTTATTCAGAAAGGTCACATTACATTGATCAAGTCCTGTGTTGAGGAGTAACTAGCTACATGTAACGGAATTACACAATTTAATTACAAAATACATGTAACTGTAATCTGTTACAGTTACTGAGAAAATGTGAAATTAAATGACTAAATTACTTATGAAAATGTTAACAATTACAAAGGGGATTACATCTGAATATTTTCACACCCATACAGATTTAATTGATTCCTTTCCCAAATTGCATCGACTTTTCTAAAATATGAGACACCAATGTTTCAGTAGTTTAGGACACAGTATAAGACACATGCTTATTCGATAACTGTTTTATTTCCTATTTGGGTTCATGTATATGCTTTATTTTTTTTAAGATTAACGGTAAGGTTAACCCGGCCTTCTTTAAATGTTTTTAAATTATTAACAGTTGAAAACATTCATTGGAAATTTATAAAAGTAATCAAAAAATAATCAAATGTAATCAGTTACATTACTTTAATAAAGTAATTGAAATAGTTACACTACTTATTACATTTTAGATAGGGTAATTTCTAATCTGTAACCTATTACATTTCCAAAGTAACCTTCCCAACAGTGAAAAAGTGATAGTAAAGACATTTAAAATGTTACAAAAGTGACATTCTATTTCACATAAATGCTGTTGTTTTGAACTTTCTATTTATCAAAGAATCCTGAAAAATGTATAACAGTTTCTGTAAAAATATTAAGCAAGTGTTTTCAACAATTATGGTAGTAATAATAATAAATGTTTCTTAAGCATCAAAGCAGCATATTAGAATGATTTCAGAAAGATCATGTGACACTGAAGACTCGAATAATGATGCAAAAAATTTGCTATAAATTACATTTTAAAATATATTCAAATACAAAAGTTATTTTAAATTGTAATAATAATTCACAATATTGCTGTTTGTACTGCGTTTGATCAAATAAATAAGAGATTATTATTATGAGAAGAGAATTCTTTCTTTCAAAAAATCTTACCGACCCCAAACTTTTGAACAATAGTGTATCAGAAAACACATCAGGTACCGCGTTCTCGCCACAGTCCTTTTTGTAAAGGACAGTTTTTCATGATGAACCTGACAGCCCATTTGCTTATGGTAATTAGGAATGACAAGAATCTAGTCCAGCCGCTCACAGCAAATACAAACAATACACACAAGCTGTTTAACAAGTCGGACATCATTTGTTCTTTAACGACATGAGTCATTTCTCTTCAGATATTTGCCTTGGCAAAGCTTATCACCACACAGCCAAACAGTCCTGTGTCCCGTGTGTCACTTTGTAACGGTGCCACGGTATCAGAGCACAGTGCCCGTCTCTACCCCTCACCCTCTGATTGGTTGCTACGAGTAACTGACAATCAAAACAACAGAAGTGAATACAGTAGGGAACACCCTAACTTCATCAGACCTGGGAAAGAGCGTGAAACTGATTCACCGGATCCATCGGTTTGAGTGGTATGCAACTGCACAATCAGCTCTAAAACACCTGGTCAATCATTCCCATCCGGACCCCCCTCGACGTCCCTCACTGAGCGTATCACTCCAACAAGCCGGAGTTTCCTGTGTGGTCACCGTGTCTCAACTTTGACGCCAGCATTGCCGTGGACAAACTGCACAATGTGTAAAACGAGCACCCCGCTGGCTCCGCTCCTAAACTCCATGTACAGAGGGCCGCGCAGTCACCAATGCTTCTCATTCCTGTT